TACCACTAAAATCCATGGGTTATAAAGGCAGGACTTATCTCCCCAAGCCATCATTGTTAAAGAATATTCATTCAAGACCTGACGCAGTTAGAAAGCGTTTAAAATGTAAACAAGAGCCAGTGTCTCCTGCCGTCTCTGCCCTAGGATTTAGCTGTAAAACTTGTTTGCAGATTGATTTAGTGCTTTTAATGAGGAGCAGTCTTAGAAACAGGTCACGAATGAGAGCCCTTGAGGAGGGTAAGCATTAGCCTTGAGCTACAGCTAGTTACATATTATGACAACAGAGCAATCTTACCTCTTGAGGGGATAAAAACCCGCTTCCAGCAAGGATTCCATTCCATTTTTCAATTTCCTTCTCCATAGCGACTCTTGAAGCCAAGTTTAATTTTGGAGGCCAAGTTGTCATTCACCTCCTTGTCTTCAGAAAGTGCATTTTTAGCAAAGTACAGCTATCCTGTAAAGACAAGCAAGGCAGAAATGCAACCTGGTAGAGAGCACGAATCATGGTTTGCATAAATGAAGTTTGGAACAGTTTAAAAATTGCTCAAAGTCAGTTTTTGAAGGGAAGGGGAGTCCTAATAACCAAGGTGTAAAATAAACTACCTTCTGGGGCCACCACTTTGAGGGATTTTAAACACACTTCCAATACTCTGCTGAACAGAATGAAAAGATGAAACAAGAGCCTTGCTCCCCACTGCAACTAAACTGCAACTATCAAGAAACAAATCAGGGATTTATTCCTGAAAGTCCCTAGGGAAGAGCAAAAGCTTTCCAAAGGTCACAGTCCTGGACTTTGTGTCAGGCAGCAATAAAAGGTGTGCGGTTTGCTGTGAAATGGCACACCAGGGTACATACCCTCTCTGCAAACACTGTTTATTGGGATGCTGGTAAAAGGAAGAGGAATGAGACACTACCCTGTGGCCAGGCTGCCAGGAACCGCTTCAGACAAGGAAGAGCTGGGCTGACAACCACGGATTAACGAGATCCTCGTTTGGAGCCAAGGCGGAAAGACGAGAACGATCCCAGCTCACCTGCCCTCCTGGTCCCTGGAGTCACTTACTGATAAGCAGCACATTTGGGCCACACCAAGGGAGATGAAGGCACCTGACAGGTAGCTGGTGTAGGAAAAAAGCAGGGAGAGGACAAGGACTCCAGAGTCCCAGATAAAAAAATTCCCAGATCCCCTCTGTTAAGCAGATACAGAGCTCCCCAGCCCTCTCGTGTAGATCTGCTCATGTCAGATCTGGAGAATTGTGCTCAGGGAGCTCCTTAGTAAGGGGTAAGGCTCTTAATGCCTCTCTTTTAATGCTTCCAAACACTCACCCTGCATGTGGGAGAGGAAATCTCCAATAATTACATGCCAAGACCCGGTGGAAACATGGAGCTGGTGGATCTTAAGAGCCTGTTGGGCATTTATTTGCATGCTAGCTCAAACCTCCCACCTGGTTTCAGATCCACAGCCCAGCACATCCCCCCAGCTGCGATCCCTACGGAGCAGAGCCCTCCAATGGGGAATTACAGACCAAGGCAGGCAGCTCCCTCTGGAAAAGCCACCTCCCACAGCTCTGCTCTGCAGCCTGGCTCCCAGCACAGCTGTTTTCCCCTCCTACCTAGTTTGCTTTATTTTGTCCTAGTGCTTTTTTTAAGCCAGCATCAAAGCAGCTACTCAGATAACCGATTCTTACTGTTCCCTCTTTCCTCACTAGTATTTCAGCATCATTTTGCTGTTACAGCAGCACACGGGTACGCTGAGGAGGGCAGAGACATGAGCTCATAACCTGAGCAGAGGTAAAACAACACTCATGAGCATTTACATCTCAAGCTGTTCCCTTTTATTACTTCTCAATCCCCGAGTTTAAGTGGTACTTGAATTCCACATTCACATTCTGCTTTCCAACATTGAGCTAGGGAGCCTAGATACCACATCTCACACACACTGCAGAGGATTTCCCAGCCCTTAATGGGCTCTCCAGTATCTCTGGAAACAGCCCAGCTTTTCTCCCAGGTTACTTGCTCAAGGTCAATGAGAAAAGCCTGGAGCATTTGGCTCTGCTCACCTCACATCGGTACGCACAGAGGCAACGGGCTCCACTCGCTGCAGAACTCTGCTCCGAGCACAGCACAGTGGCTTCAGCTCTGGTAGGAAGGAAAAGAGTCAATCTGGACATGTGAGACTGCCTAACCCTCACCCCAAGGCAAGGACTACCACAAACAGTTTCACAATATTTATATCAAGCAGCTTCAGATGCACCAGCTCATGGAAGCTGCCGCACACTTCCCCGTTAGGTCTTTTATTTTCCATTTTTACAAGGCAGCAGAACCCAAATGATTCACCTGACTCTGAGGAACCACCCAGCAGAAGGTGCCTTCACAACCCCCAGCAAGCTACTAAGATCTCTGCTCACAAGAAAGCAGGATTTCCTTGGCCCTGCAGGTGACACGGGGTGCCTGGGGACACAAACAGGCTGTGCCACCTTTAGAGGCCACAACCCTCTGCAGATGCAAAAAATGCTGTTTTACCTGGTTCCTTCCATGTCCTGCCCAAGGAACCTTCTCCTGCCTGAAGCCCTCAGGGGACCATCCTCACCTGGGCCACCAACCTCACCAAGAACCTCAGAGCTGGGGGCTCAGCAGACTCCTCTGAAGCTGTTGCAGGTCCCTCCTATGCTGGATAGTTGACCTGGTTTGAGTGCTCAGATTGCTCCCTTCATTCTGTGCTTGAAAAGCAATGACATGCAAGACCTCCACAGTGGTTAAAAAAAGCTCCAAGATGTTTATTTTGGCATTATTTTAAAAATACACAAATACATTACATATCAATCCCTTGTTTTGGACTTATGTTATTTAGCTCAAAGCTGAGGACTCATTAAAGCTTCTTTTTAAATGTTGCTATTTTGAAGGAGGGTCAGAACCAAAACACCACATTATATACTTAAGTTGACAGTGCAAATAAACCAAAAACTGTTCAGACCAGGAGTCCATTGTGTCAGACAATGAAAGCTGAACAGTTCCTGGAAAATAGTAGTAAAAATAATCTGCATTCAAGACTTTTGGGGAGAAAATAGGGGAGAGGAAAGATTAGCATTCTGGAAAAAAATGTTTGCACAGAGAGAGCATTAGACGTGACATTGAACTAAGTGGATCAGATAGGGTTTGGACAGATATATATACACATAACAGTGGTTTGAGATATTTAAGTCCCAGTACAACAGTGGCACAAATGCTCCTTCAACAATTTATGGATAGAGAGAACAGGTTAGCAACTATGTAATTCCAAGATGCATCACTGACAGATCCACAAGCAGCAACTCCCTGCTTTAAAAGGTGCAGTTTCTTGGCATTGTATTGTTTGCATAGTTACTCCTTTTCCTTAAAGTTTAGGAAAGATTCAGCAACTAAGTTCAGGAAAAAGCTATTGCCTCCAAACACATTTCTACCTATGGAAAATCTCAACAGTACGTAGATAAAAAGACATCAAAATGACTGAGACAAAACTGCAGCCTCCTGGATAAGGAACATAGAAGTATATTTCATATTTAAAAAAGTGAAATGTCTCAAATAGAGTTGTCTGCTGTGCTTAGTTTGGTCCACTAGAATAATTTATTTCCTCACTGCCACAGAAAGGCAATCTTAAGTATTTTCCATATAGCAATTCTGGGTTATTTTTGAATCAGCAGCCCTTGCTTCTCCATGGTGTGTTCCTTATCCCTAGTCTTTGCCCTGGCTTGTCCAATGCCACAAGAGACCTCATTCCTTCTTAGGAGATGAAAATAATTCTAACTACACTGAAGCTTGATAAAAATAGGGCTATTCAATAAGATGAGCATATCCCTTCCTATATCAGTTCTGCTCCTACTGCTTTTATCAAGCCTGTAACCACAAGGAGAAGAGAATCTGTGTCTCTGCCCTCTCCATATGGGCATCAGCTCAAGACAGTTATGTTCACATTTTCTGACAGGGTGAATCAACTGTTTTCATTTGTGATCATTATGTTCATGTCAGTGGCTGGTGATGAATAGCCACAAAGTCAATTATTTTCGAAGTACAGATCCATAACACAGGAGATAAACCAAAACAGGCAACAGCAACACAGGCAGAAGGGAACGCTTAGAAATAATTTCACATGCGGTGACAGTAACACTTCAACTGATTTAGCAACCTCAAATTTTTCCACTTATTTCCTACTCCCATGCCCATACTCCTGTGCTCATCATGATGGTATAAAGGCTCGTGTGGCAACACAGTCAACCCCACCAAGAAACAACGTGGTTCAAAGAACTCAGCAAAAAAAATATTAATTACAGCTACCTAATTTCCAGATCAAGTGCACTGCATTGTTGGCATAGTAACAGTAAGGTCAACCATCTGAGATGTCAGGCACATTAATAAGGAGCTTGATTAAAGAAAACCCTTACTGCATTGGCAGGAATTCACTTGATCTTTTCAATTCATCTCAGTACTCACTGACATATCTAGAAGATGCACAGCTACCCCCCAGGAAGGTTGATCTCCCTTCAGCTGCTTTATTGAGGGAAATAAGCTACTGGAGAGCACCCGTGCACAGCACACATAGCAGCCTATCCATTACAAAACCATAGAAAATGGCTTTTTAATTCAAGGACCAAACTGAAACCATTGGAAAAGCTTCCCAGGAAATTCACACACATTGGGTCAGACCCAATCACAGGCTTCAATAGCAAGGAGAACAGTACCTGGAGAGTTAAAAAAACAAGGGCACTCAATATCAGAGGCTGAAGATGATGCTCCAAAAAGCATCAGTTTTTGCATCCAAAGAATACTGCATTTTAAGTATTATGTTCTCCTCTAATGTTAAAGCAGTGGCACTTAGTGTTAACATTTTGAGCAGGCCATTCAAAGGAGCCCACACTCTGGAGAAACCCCAACATTGTGTGTTGATCTGCAGCACCAAGACACTCGGCTCTGAAGGCAGAGAACACAGCACAACCCAGGAAGAAAAACTCACCCAAACTGAAACCAAAGAAAGGCAGATACTTTACAGATTTCAAAACACAGCATCTGTAGGAGACAGACAAAACCACAGAGCTGGAATAGTGCACTTCAAGCCCACCAAAGCAGTTCACAGAACTGGATGTAGCCTGCTGTCAGCATCTTTACATGAGTTCATTTCTCTGTTAATATTTGGCACAAACCCCTCGATGCAATCATTTGGCTTGCATTTAGGTCAGTTGCTTGCAGTGTTTTCCTGGCACTTCAGTGGATTTGGAGAACATTTCTTCGACATTGTGTACCCTGACACAGTCCTCAGGTAAGAATGAAGGCTAAACATTGCTGACCCTTGTTTCTGCAGAAGAGATGAGAGCAGAAGATGTCACCAGTGACCGTTCTCGTCTGATATATCGTGGCTTCCGAACTGAAATGGTTGGCAGAAAGACATCATTAGCATATAAACATATGTATATACCCATGCCTTTACCATTAATTTGTAATACAACACCCCAAACAACAATTTGCAAGTGGCAAAGTCTGTACTTCTCAATTACATTTGTATGTAGAAACTATAAAGGTCTAGGGAGGAAAATTAAGCCAGGCTGATTAGATGAAATTTTCCGCAAGAAATAAATTTCTGCCTGAGCTTTTTAATACTTATTAAAACCCACCTAGTCACCTACAAACAGCCCATGCACCACATACCCACTAAATAGTATATTCAAGACACTAGGTTATTTGTTTCAAAAAAGTTGATATGCTTCAAATCAGTGAGCCTCTACATGAACCAAATTACTCAGCACTAGTGAAAAATATTCCAGGTCCTTGTAAGTTTTCTCTATCCTAACCAGCAATGGTAAACTTTAACACAAAGTACTTATTATTCTATGTCTACATTGATTAAAGCTATAAATCCCATCAAGATGATCAACTAGACAGATTTCATTGGATTTCTGGCCCCTCAAGAGATTACATAGTTCTATACCAGGCTTCACAGGTAATTGTTTTGACTTGCTGTGTATTCTTAGCATACCCATTTTGAGATGGTTTTCCTGCTTGCAATAACGAGATGCCAAAGAGCATCTAATAGGGAAAATATTTGCAGCAATACACCCCAGAGAACAGTTCCTCACCTGAAGAGGCAGGAGGTGGTATCATGGATGCCTGCATAACAGAAGAAGGATCAAGTCAAACAATGTACCTTTTGTCCTCTCAGTCTCTTATTTTAAAACAAAAATATGGGAACATTTTATAGTTCCAATAATTTTTAGTGTGCAAATAGTCTTTCTTAGATATTTCAGCTCAAGAGAATCAATATGGTCAGTATTCATCTTTTTCCCAATTTGGGCAGAGAACCCAAAGACAGCTTTATTCCAGTTTCTCACACATCAGGTTAGGTAGCTCCATCCTGAATTGTTAAAAATCTAAATTATTTACTAGGCAGTTTATGCTTGCTTATTTGTATTAAAAGGACAGATTCTACTTACTGTTTCACTAGGCTGGAGAACAGATGCTAAAAAAGAGAGAGAAAGAGACTAATCATCATTAGTTCAGAAGGCTAGAACTGCTAGTTTTCTAAAAGCATATGTACAACAGAATAGTTCTATTAGTAGAAAAAGGTTGTCACAAACAAGTGTCATTGAAATAAATGGGTAGTATTAAATTCTGTTAAAATGTCTTGTGTGTAAAAAGCACTGGGGTTTTTTGTTTGAAGCTGAGCAAAGATCAAAATTTTACAGAGAACAGGCAAGTACTTAGAGGTATTTTACCTTTGTTTCTTCTGTAGAAAACATTCGGAAGTTTATTGGCACGTTTGAGGTAGAAAAAAGAAGCCACAGACAGAATCAGGAATAAACTGATGAAAAATGTTCCCACAATGAGGGATGCTGCCACTTCTGGGCCCCCTGTAAAAATCAGAGAAAATACTATTGTCAACTGGAAATCTCTTCCCTTTTTTATATAGCTTTCAAGATCAGTGCCAGCAGGACTGTGAACAGCAAGTATTTTAAGAAACAGAAGATGTTTACAATCTTGCCAGAGCCAAACCAAAACAACAGATTTTTCTAGCAAGCTCTTCTTGAGAAGCTCACAGTCTGAGCAGCAAAGGATACTTCAGATCAAGTGTATGTAGATGACAAGATAAATGTTTGAAAGGGATTGACTTGGTTCCATAGCCTTCAAGAATAGTGGTGTTAAAACTTGCTCTGTCTCACCTCATTTTACATTCTACTTTCAGCCAAAGCATGCAATGATGCTATCTAAATAAACTCAATTTGTATTAGTTGCCCGTGTCAAGCAAATATTTTTAAGAGATTAAGTAGAAGTGACTGGCCAGCAGTGATAAAATAAATCTATCTATAGAAAGGCTAATCAGATTTCAGTCATCTACCAGGTGTGTAATGTTGCCTCACTCCATGAAAAGCAAAACTCTTGCTGCATAAGGTTCAAAAATCAAGCTGGCTATTTCTGAAAACCCAGGACTGGTACAATAAATCACTCCAGGACAAATATAACAGAATAAAAGTACCATTCAGTAAAAGAAAGGCACTCGCCTCAAATTAAGACTTACAAAAGACTCTTGCTGGGCAAAACAAGTAAAAGTGACTGTTACCCTGTTACCTATATGATATATATATTTCATCTCCATTTACTCACCTATATTCTGTATGAAGGGAGTTGCGGTGCTTATATTCATTTGAAAATTCACTCCTCTGATACCAGCTGTAATAAAAAATGGTATTTTTAAAGCAGAGTATTAGCATAACTGTGGATTCATTGAGAAACTTAATATCACTTTTTTCAATTTCAGAAAAGGATGCAAACCAACAGCATTTTTCCAGGACAAAAACTATTAACTGATTTGTTTTTTCAGGAAGTTCTATCAAATTTCTTACTTGAAAGCAAGCACATGTATTTAACTGTCAAATAAAAATCTCAGATACAAAATTATATATTTTTCAGTGAACTCAAGTACACTCAAGTACTCAAGCTGCTTGTGCTCCGAAGAAGTCCCTAGCAAACGCCCTTTTCTAAAAGCAGAGATCAAAGCATTCAAGAAGTTCAGTATTTATTTGCATAATTTTGTAAGGATGGGAAAAAAAATATTCTGAAACATTCAACTATTTCTTCAGAATGCAGCTTTTACTGGACTATGTATTCCAGAGCTCTCACTACCAAGACTCTCATCAAGATAAAGGGATGGGAAAAGACTTACTATTTCTGCAATCAGTCAGATTGTAAACAGGTGCAACAGGAAAGGTTTCATTTTTGCACTTAATACAGCTACTGCTACCATCCTCATTCCATCGTCTGTAACAACCTGCACAAGAATAAGAGCGAGCTGAAAACAGCAAATTCACTGTTTCACTGAAGCTATTCTTACTGCTCCATTAGATACACTTTATTTGTCCTTTCGTGCCCATTATATGGGCTAGCTTTTACCTAACCCAAATAAAACAGCAAGGAAAAAGAAACAAAAACAAGCTTAGTGATAAAAGCCTATTCTGCTTTTCATGCAAGGACAACTTTTATGAGTCATAACTGGCAATACCTGTGTACATTTAGAGGAATAAAATCCTCAACATTCACATGTACTAATTAAGTTTTTTCCCTCCACAGCACATAATCAGGTGGTGTATTTTGGTGCTTGCTATCAAAAACAATCTGAAATTTCATTAAACAATGATACACTATACCTGGACTGCACTGGTTGCTTGCAGGGCAGGAACTGTTTGTATCCCACACATCCACACAACATTCTGTCTCTGAAACCTAAGAAAATGAGTTACAATACACTGCCCAAAGTTCTTGGCTTAATTAAAACAATTCAGGAACAACTGACAGAATGCAGAGGAATAAAGTGTAACTACAGATAATACTTGCAGTAGCTTGTGTTTATTGTTTCCCTTGAACCAGAAAGCCTTCTACAAACTGCAGTTATGAAGGGGAAAAAAAAATCTAACACTGGTTTTCAGAGTACTTAACATCACAAAGCAAGAAGCACCTACCAAACTTTCAGTAGATTTGCTGGCAACTTCTGCTACAAGTTTAGTTAAGAGAAGGACATATGGCACCTCCATGCCCAGGGATGACAGAGGTCTGAAAGAGAGGAAAGAAATCAGAATGGCTTATTAATAATAGAGAAATTAGGCTTACCCTTTGCAAAGAAACTTCTGCCAAGGCATTTATTTGAATTGCAAAAGCCTTTAAATATGCCAAAGGGGAATGACTTACCTGGGTTAAAGGTACAAATGTGAGACATTCAGAATTTTCCCTCCAGCTGCAGAGGGGCAGGTTCCTGGCGATGGCTGCCTGTAGTTGCTAAGAAACAGGGAGCCTTATCAGCCTGTTCCAAGCAGGGTGATGCAGGGGCTATTCCACACCCAGGAGCTGGAAATCAATGCGATTGCAAGAGAACAGTCACTGCCTGGCACGGGAGCTGATAAGGCTCCCGCGGTGACTCCTCGGGCTGCAGCGCGGAGCTGGGATGGATTTGCCTCCGCACAGAGAGCACAGCACCCTGAAAAGACAATACTGCAATTAAGTTTTCCCATAACACAGTTATGAAGCATTAATGAAGTCAGCCTGGTAATAGTAATACCTCTTAATTGTCTGCAAACAGTTCTTATCAATCTGCAGCAGAATACGGGCTGTTACACATCTCCAGCTCTCCCCTAGCCCCAAAACATACATTTTTTCCCCCCCATATAAATGTTCAAATAAACCAAATAAAGCCTACACTTAAAATTAAATTCCTTGGATAAAAGAAATGCATCATTCTGATTTGCATTGCCCAGACACTTCCTATATCAACACTATAATCCATAGAAGACCTATCTCCTTGTCAGTGTCTCTGAAATCCACATCCACTTTCCCCAGCTACTTAACATGCAGCCTGGCAGCTTTAGAAAAACATAGCCTCATATTATAAATAAAACATGGGAACAGACAACACCCTTTAACTGAGGCTTAGTAAGAGGAAATTGTTACAAAGGAAGCCTGCAAACTGTGTGGGAAAACTCCTTCAGTGACTTCCATGAACAGAAATGCTGCTTTTGTTTTTATAATATAGTGATGAGTTTTAAGTTACTGTAAAATATGTAGCATAACCCTTGGTAAATTGCTGGTTGAAGAAAAGCAATCACTGAACAGATTTTACCATTAATTTCTATTCAGTTTTTGAAATCACTGACACATATCCTGTTGCCTCAACTTCCAAATACAATTAGTTCAGCTTGGTAGGGAAAATTATTGTCCTCTGCTGCTCAGACAGCTCTAAGACCAAGGACTGAAAGTTTTGAAAACCCAACTCCATTCTTACTGCTATAGGCAATTGCTACAGCCCAAGATTTGGGCAGAGCAAGAGAAGATCACACTGCCACACTATTTTGATTTAAACATAATGGTGGATGCCAGGTCTGCTGGTATCAAGTTGATAATCCATAATTTCATCAGTTCCCATTTACATATGGATGCACCTACACCGAGACTCATGCTGAAAAGCATGAACAAAAAGGGGAGGGAAAAGTCAGTTTGGGGAAATCTTACAGAAGGACAAAAAGGTACATTTCTAATCCACAATTAGCTCCACAAATTACTGACTAAAAAGCATTAAGGTATTATTTTTGGCAATCTGTAGGGTGGGAAGATACCTCCAATGCAAATATCCGTTCTAATAAAAAGGTAATGACATTAGCAGATGAAAGGAGATAATTTTTCTACAGCACAATGTACAGCCTCAGAAGCCAAGAACTCCTGGACTGTAGCTTTGATGGCACCACTTTCCCCTGCAAATTTGAGTAAAATAGAAATTATTTACGACTCAAGTGGTTGCATATGTAGGCATTGCACTTAGTTTGACAGAGCACTTTCTGTCTGTATATCTTTCTATAAGTGTTATGAACAATCTTGTACTAATTACATGGGTGTAACTTTAATTTGCACATGTAACCTTTTAAAACAGTAGGATTTTTGTCTTTATGCCTTTGTACTGCACTAAAGGTTTAGTAACCTTTAGAATTTTAGGTTTTCTTCAAGGAAAAACATTAAAACAATCTCAGGGATGTGCATATGGATGGATGTATTTTTAAAAAAAACACATTCACAGCTTGCCTTACTACCTGTCAGCTTTCCACACCCCATCTTCAAAAATGGGATATTGCTTCTTGGTTGAGAAAGGTTTCCTCTGGGGGACTAACTCTTAATAAAGCCATTTGTGGATAACTTCATAGAGTTAGTCCCCCAGAGGAAACCTAATAAAGCCATTTGTGGATAACTTCATCAATTTGGACACTATGCCTACATTTTGTTAATATTTGAATATTATAATAATTGTAAATGCTGGGAGAAGACAAAAAAAGCAATTTGTTTAAACAAATATATACTTCTGTAGAAAAATACCTATATTCAGGAACAAGTCATGCTAAATAAGAACACATTTGTGAAACTAGCCACTGCCAGAGCTCCCAATCTTCCTCTTTGTGAATTGTAAATAGCCAAACCCCATGGGCTCGACATCGGGTGCCTTTCTGTTCCTGAAACCAATAAAGTTACTAACAAGAGCATTACATGCGAGGACAGATATTTGTTCACAGCCACTGGTGATTGCAGCAAACTAGAACACCCTGAGGCGGTTCCAGCAGAAATAGGACACAAGAGCTAACTGTTCTCAAATCAGAAACTCAATATATTTTATTTCTGTGAAAGAGAAATAGCTTTTTTAATATACATTTTGTTTGCACTACTTTTAACTGCAGGAAAATGAAAGCAGAAGGGAAGAAACTTAAAACTCACCAACATGCTAAGAGCATATTACATTAATTTACATTTAATCCCAGAACCACTTCACAACATCCTGCTCAATTCCCTTTCAGATGATAAAAATCAGAGACCAATAACATAATACAGAAAATACTATTCATCTGAATGAGACAAAGACATGAATTCACGTGGAAGATGACACTATATATGTATTTTTTTCATTGAGCACATGCAGTGCTCAAAGCTGGGTTGTGCCAGAGCTCAATGGGTTGAAAAGAAGGTTTTTGTGGCTTGTAAGGCAAAGGGCAAAGTGGCAGATAAACCAGCAAGTGGGGATTTGTACTATGGATTGGCCTCCCCTAACCAAAACACGGAAGAAACACCACTCGTTTTACAGCTTGCCAACCACAAGCAAATCATAACTTTTTATTGCCAAACTGAGCAATATATTGTTGTAATTTTAACTTTAGAAAGGAAAGGCTCTTATCTAGAGCCTCCTTTATAAGGCCACAGAATGAGGTAACCAAAGTGTTGATCAGAGCAAGTTGCACATCAAAACAATTTACAAGTTTAAAAAGAAAACTACAGCTGCACATAAAATATGCTTTATGTTTGGCAGCATTTTCCCTTCAGATTAAGAACATCATAATGCCATACACAAACCAGAGTCCAAATTAGAAAGTATTTATGCTGTAGGTGCCAGCACAGTTTTGAGAAGAGAGATATTTTAATTTAAAAAAGGGATTTCACACCAACCAAATCTCAAATCACTTCCCAGTGCTACAATACACAACTACAAATGTTGCTGTGGTAGTTTTGCAACTCCGTTTGAAACGGTATCGCCCTCATTCTGCCACGGGGTTTCTTAGCTCTGACAGCCCTTGAATTAATCATGACAAATAACGAAATTGGAAGAGACAAGATGCTGCTCCATAAACCACAGGCTCGTAAAGGCCTAAACTCTCACTTACCAGCCACCTCAGAGCGCGCAATATTGCATCTTCCTTAGAGCTGAACACTTATCATATGTGGTTTACTACTAATTTCTCATTGAGTCATTCTCAAATGTTCCCCGATGAGTCTGCAGGCAGAAGAATAGGTGTGGGTTGTGCTTAGAACAAACCTTTAGAAACCAAAGCAGAAGCAGGACTCGTTTTTCCAGCTTTCTTAACAGACACCCAAGATAAGAACTGCTCCTCCTGCCACCACCACAGAAAGATTATTTAAAATAAAATAAATAAAGGACACCAACCAGCAATTTAAAAAGCACACCATACATTCAAGGCAATTAAGAGACCTGCTCTAAGCTAAGATTTGCTTAAAAATCAGCTATGTACATGGAATGTGCCTGGAGCTGAAGCCAAAACTGGCACCTTTTGGGTGTCCAGGGAAAGATGTGCTGGAAACTCGGCCCATGCACAGGCCAGGCAGCACAAGCCTGGGTTAGATGTATATTTATTCGGAGTTTAACCCCAAAATAAGACCCAGATAGCCAAGCTGCACTGAGATGACATAGCTTACCGGGAAGGGGAAGGGATTAAACAATTTTTATTCGCCCTGGAGAAAGAGGTGATTAAATTGCAAACGCGACTTGGGAAGAAAAAAAAAAAAAAAAATGAAATATAATAAAACAAGCTTAAAATGGGCAAGGAACCCAACGGCCTTGAATGAGCCGGGGGAGGAGGGAAGAGCAACGACTCCCCCACCCCCTGGCACCCCCCCCCTCCACCGTG